TCTTCTTCTTCTTCTTCTTCTTCTTCTTCTTCTTCTTCTTCTTCTTCTTCTTCTTCTTCTTCTTCTTCTTCTTCTTCTTCTTCTTCTTCTTCTTCTACCTCACAGTTTGTAAGCCGCTCTGAGACTCCTTTGGGTAGTGAAGGGTGGGGTATAAATCCAATCTCCTCTTCTTCTTCTTAAATTAAGGGCTGGATATTTGGAACAACTTTTTGACAGTGAGAGTTGTGCAACAGTGGAATCAGCTGCCTGGGGAGGTGGTGAGCTCCCCCTGACTGTCAGTCTTCAAGCAGCGCCTGGACGGACCCTTGTCAGGGATGCTCTAGGCTGATCCTGCATTGAGAAGGCAGGGTCCGACTAGATGGCCTCTAGGGACCCTTCCGACTCTGGGATTCTAGGATTCAGACCCAACATGCCAAGGGTCTTCTCTAGAGAAGGCATCTCCCTTGCTCCTCATTGCCGCTCGGCTTTGTTTGTGTGCATAAAATATTTTTATTTATTACTTAAAATACCATCTTTTTTGTAGAGAAAGCCCAGCAGGAACTCATTAGCATAATAGGCCACACCCAACAACAGAAACTCATTAGCCTATCCAGCCACACCCACGAGAGCATAGCTCATTAGCATATGAGGCCGCACCCCATGTTACCAGAAGTGTAGTCATCCAGCCAAACCCACCTTTTGCTTCTTATTCTGTTTACCTTGTTTGTTGTCAAAACCCAGGGCCTTTTTTGTAGCAGGAACTCCTTTGCATGTTAGGCCACACACCCCGAATGTAGCCAATCCTAATGCGTTTCTGCTGTTGGGTGTGGCCTATTATGTTAATGAGTTCCTGCTGGGCGTGGCCAACTTGGGAGCCAGCCAGAACTCCGTTCTTGTGCGTTCCTGCCCAAAAATAGCCCTGCCTTTCCGCATGCGATTCAAACCCGCTGCTTCGGGTCCTCTCCTCTGCTGCCAACTGGAACCGCTCCTTGCCCTCCTCCAAATGGCAGCCTTTCAAATATCTAAAGAAAGCAATCGTGTTCCCCCTCAGTCTCCTCCAAACGAAACATTCCCTGGGCCCTCAGCCTTTCCTCGCAGGGCTCCGTCTCCAGACCCCTGATCACCCTCGTCGTTCTCTTCTGCACCCTCTCAGTTTTGCCCACATCCATTTTGGAAGTGAGGCCTCCAGAACAGCACACAGGACTCTCAAGGTGCGGCCTGACCAAGGCAGTCTACAGAGGGGCCGTGACCTCCTGCGATTTCGATGCTGTGGCCCTTTTAATACAACCCAAGACTGAATTGGCCTTTTTTGCCACCGCATCACACTGACTGCTCATATTCCGTTTACCGTCCACCCTTACCCCAAGATCTCTTTCGCATACACTCCTCCCCAGAAGCGTATTCCCCATCCAGTATTGGTGCTTGACAGTTTTTGTGGCTGCAGGAGTACGTGTTGCATTTTTGGCTTTTCTGATCTCCTTTTCCAGTGGAAGGAACATTCCCCTGCCCTCTTGCGCCTGGCCATGGGGAACACCCTGATGGTTAACCAGCTCATAGACATGGAGTGGAAGTTCGGAGGTATTTTACTGTTTATTTATTTGCATCACTTATAGATCGCCTTTCTCTCTTGGACTCCAGGCGGATTGCAAAGAGTGAGCAAGGGGCAGTGAGGTGGGGCCTCTCCGCTGCTCCAGCCATGCAGCCCTTTTGGGTGTGTTCTTGGGGCTGAGGCTCGGTGGCAGAGCGTCTGCTTGGCTTTCAGAAGGTCCCAGGTTCGATCCCCGGCATCTCCTGTTAAAAAAAACAATGTGGTAGGAGGTGATGCAAAAGACCTGGGGAGCCACTGCCAGTCTGAGTAAATACTGCCCTGGATGGATCCGGGGGTCGTACTGGCACTGCCAGAAGGCAGTTTCATCCAGCTTACGGCGACCCAAGGAATTCATGACCTCTAAAACATCCTGTCATTAACAGCCATTCTCAGGTCTAATATGTTGTCGAAGGCTTTCCCGGCCGGAGTTCATTAGCTGTTGTAGATTTCCCGAGCTGTCTGGCCGTGGTCTTGGCATTGTGGGACGTGGCGTTTCGCCAGCAGCTGTGACCGGCATCCTCAGAGGTATAACACAACAAGATGGAGTACCCTCTGTTTCAAGGTGAGAAGAAAACTCTTACAAGATAATGACTCACTCAGCCCTACCCCGCCTTCTTGAGTAGATATAAGTTACCTGCCTACCATTTTTTCTTCTCCTCACCTTGGCACAGAGAGTCCTCCATCTTTCTGTGTTATACCTCTGAGGATGCCAGTCGCAGCTGCTGGCGAAACGTCAGGTCCTACAATGCCAAGACCACGGCCAGACAACCTGGAAAATCTGCAACAGCTAATTCTCAGTCATTGCTAACTGTGGACCGTGGCTTCCTTGATTGAGTCAATCCATCCCATGCCGGGTCTTCCTCTTTTCCGGCCGCCTTCCACTTTTCCTAGCGTTATTGTCCTTTCCGATGAGTCTCGTCTGTGGCCCTCACAGAGCCTTTTCTCGTTCTCTCCGTTAGTTACGGCGGGAAGCAGCGAGATGGAAAAGGGGGGAAGCATCTTTTTGCAGGTGAGCCTCTCGGAGTGCGAGAATCTTGAGGATAGGTGGTGGGCACAAGAACAGGATGCGGATGTTGATTCTTCAGTTGCTGGGTGCAAGCAGTGTTGGCTGTGGGTGCAGGATCAGCCATCTCGGAAGTCTCTGGTTTTGGCAGTTAAGGGGGAAAGCATAAGGTGGTGAGCCAGAGAGGGTGCCATGCCCTCTGGAGTGGGGGCCCTTTGTCCCTTCTTATGACGAGCGGAAATATGTGTGTGTGTGTGTGTGTGTGTGTGTGTGTGTGTGTGTGTGTGTGTAAAGAGCCATCAAGCCGTAGTCAAATGATGATGACCCCAGCAAGGGGCTTTCAAGGCAAGTGAGAACTTAAGAACACGAGAGAAGGCATGTTGGATCAGGCCAGTGGACCATCCAGTCCAACACCCTGTGTCACACAGGGGCCAAAACCCAGGTCCACCAGTGGGACCAGAACCCCAGAAGCCCCCCCACTGTTGCCCCCCAAGCACCAAGAAGTAGAGGCGAAGAAGTAGGGGGGTAACATCAAATAGTAGGGTGTATAAGCTCATGGATAACGTTAAAATTCTGACTTTCAAGGTTGTAGAAGTGAAATGTTTGGGGTTTTGTTAAAAACATTCAGTAGGCCACTGTCTTCTACAGTAGCTTAATTTTTTTTAACTGATTTCTTTCCAGCTGAAACTGGTGGTTAAAAAAGGAAACCAAACTGAGCCCGTGTATTTAGGTGAGTGAGCCATAATAATCTCCCAGGGAGTTTTGCAGCAGGTGAGACACGCAAAAGATTGGGATTCAGAGGATAAAGGTAAAGGTTTCCCTTGCCCAAAAGCCAGTCGAGTCCGACTCTAGGGTTGCGGTGCTCATCTCCGTTTCCAAGCCGAAGAGCCAGCGCTGTCCAAAGACGTTTCCGTGGTCATGTGGCCAGCATGACTAGACGCCGAGGCGCACGGAACGCTGTGACCTTCCCACCGAAGCTGTACCTATTTATCTACTTGCAATTTCTTCCTTTCGAACTGCTAGGTCGGCAGGAGCTGGGGCCAGAGACGGGAGCTCACTCCGTCATGTGGCATACTCGGGTCTCGAACTGCCGAACTACAGACCTTCTGGTTTGCAGCTCAGCGTCTTAGCCTCTGAGCCATTGTGGCCCCTCTAATTCAGAGGATACAGTAGCGATATCCCCCCCCCCCCCCATTCAAACTGTTGAAACTGAGATTGAATGTTTCCTCCCATCTACTGGGCAAATAGGATTGTAAGGGCTGAAATCTTGAGAGTGGCCAAAGGTAAGAGACGAGGCCCTTCAGCTTGTCTGCATGCGGCGTCTCCCAGCGGGAACCTCTCCGAAAATGCCATGGATTCGTTCCGTGTCCCTTAGTGTGTTGCGTTCGCTGTTTTCTTGCCTGAGCCCTACATGTTTGTTTAAGGAAACCGAATACTTTGCTCAGAATCCTTGCATCAAAAAGGACAACAGGCGCCCCCGGGTCAAATTCTTGCCCGACCACAGAAGATGCAACGAAACAGCTCTGGGCCTGCTGATGCCAGTGTTTCCGGAACAAGAGTTTAGAAGTGGGACCCGCTGTTAAATTTATGCCGCCTTTTGAGACCAGCTGCCGCGGCACTTCAGTCCTGGACTAGGCGCGGACCCGGCTGGAGTGTGTTTGGGACGCAACGGACATAGATGATAGCCATCTGCTCCTGTACTGCAGCCAGTTTCAGAGGGCAGCCATGGAAGAGCTAGATCCAAGTCCAGTAGAACATTAGACACCACCCCGCATTTTCAGGAGAAAGTCAGAGACCAGCGGCACCTTTAAGACCAGCAAAGTTTAATTCTGTATAAGCTTTCGTGTGCATGAACACCTTTAAGACCAACACAGTTTAATTCTGGACATAAGCTTTTGTGTGCGTGCACACCTTTAAGACCAATGAACTTTAATTTGGAGTATAAGCTTTTGTGTGCATGCACACCTTTAAGTCCAACAAAGTTTAATTCTGTGTGTAAGCTTTTGTGTGCGTGCACACCTTTAGGACCAGCAAAGTTTAATTCTGGGTATAAGTTTTCATGTGCATGCACATCTTTAAGACCAACAAAGTTTAATTAAGGGTGTAAGCTTTTGTGTTCTTGCACACCTTCAAGACCAGCAAAGTTTAATTCTGGGTATAAGCTTTTGTGTGTGTGCACTCCTTTAGGACAAACAAACTTTAATTCTGGGCGTAAGTTTTCGTGTTCTTGCACACCTTTAAGACCAACAAAGTTTAATTCTGCATGTAAGCTTTTGTTTGCATGCACATCTTTAAGACCAACAAAGTGTTTGAGCAAAAACTCCATGGTAAAACCACAGAGCACCATTCACTCCAGAAGTTGTGTTGCCACATCACCGGCCTGGGCCATCTCCCCCCCACACACACACCAGTTGCTGCGGGGGACCTGGTAACCCTATTGAAGCCTCCCCAGTTTGGTGTAGAGGCTAGGAGCAGGGAGACTAATCTGGAGAACCGGGTTTGATTCCCTATTCCTCCACATGCAGCCAGCTGGGTGACCTTGGGTCAGTCACAAGTTCTCTCAGAGCTGTTCTCTCAAGGGCAGTCCTCGAAAGAGCTCTCTCAGCCTCACTGACCTCACAGGGTGTCTGTTGTGGGGAGAGGAAGGGAAAGGAGACTGTAAGCTGCTCTGAGACTCTGAGTGAAGGGGAGTGGGGTATAAATCCAATCTCCTCTTCTTCTTCCCATGAGGGAGCTGGTCTCTTGAGCTGAGGCTTCAAGCAGATTGAGCCATTGGGCGACAGAAGTACAGGCTCAGACCAGTCTTCTGTTCTGTCCGGTGATCCTTCCAGTAATGGTCAGCCAGCCGCTTCCCAGAAGTCTGTGTGCAGGCTGCAAAGACTATTGTAGAGACCCTCAGCATCTGTTTTCAGAGATGCCACTGCACATGGAGTTTGCATTTGGCTGTCGTGGCCGTCATGTAGCAGTGAGTTCCTCATGCTGTGAGACAGGATGCTGGTCTAGATGGACCCCTGGTCTGATCCAGCAGGGCTCTTCTGATATTGTATGAAAACGTACTTCCATGTTTATTTGCCCTGCACTTGTTCTTTCTCTCCCTCTTCTTAGAGCTGACACTGCCCCAGTTCTACAGCTTCCTGCACGAGATGGAAAGAGTTAAAACGAGCCTGGAATGTCTCAGCTGATGTACCTGCGGGGCGGGCCTCCGTCTTCAGCTTTGTCACCGGAGGAGAAGCTTTTGCGTGATTCGCCTTTAAAGGTGTTGCCTTCGTGCCCTTGCCTCCAACTGTTTTAAGAACACCTTGGGGAACTTGTTGGCCAATATTTGTGTCGTTTTTCTGGGAAAGGGTGGGTGGGAGGGCTGAGGCCTGTTTTCTGGCAGAGCATCCAGGAAGCGAAAAGGGACTATAAAAATCAATTAACATTCCAGCCTTCTTAGTGGTGGTGAGGACACAGGAGAGCCAACGCAGTCCAAACTTTGCGGCGTTCTTGCAGATATGTGGGTTTCCTGATAGTGCTCACTCTTCACAGACACACAGACACCATGAGGCTGTTTGTTTACCCCGTTTGTATGCTCCTGCAGAGTGCAGGGGGTTGGATTGGATGACCTGCAAGGTCCCTTCCAACTCTTAGCATTCTATGATTCTGCTTCATTTATACCCCCGTTTTTCCCCAGCTTATGGCCTCCTTCTCCATTTTGTCCCAACAATAACCCTGTGAGGTTGGTTCGACTGAGCGTGTGTGACTGGCCCAACGTCACCCAGCCAGTTTCCGTGGCACAAGTGGGGATTCGAACCTGGGTCTCTCAGATCCTATGCTTGACGCCCTAACCCAGGGGTGTCAAACATAAGGCCCCGGGGGCCAGAACCGGCCCGTCTGGAGCTCTTATGCGGCCCGTGAGCAATTGGCGCAATGGGAGGAAACAGGAAACCATTTCAGGTGAACTTGGAGCTTACCAGCTGCAGTTTATATCTCCGGTACCCAGCATTACATTTGATGGCATGCATGGCACGGCCCGACAGAGTGACCCTTATGCCAGATCAGGCCCCCGTAACAAAGGAGTTCGACACCTCTGCTCTAACCACTATGCAACACTGCCTGCCTGGTTTATGCTAGGTCGAACAAGATGGGCCGCCGTGTTAGACTGTCCGTAGCAGTAGAAAAGAGCAAGAGTCCAGGAGCACCTTAAAGACTAACAAAAAATTTGTGGCAGGGGAGGAGGATCTTTTTGTGAGAAGAAGAAGAAGAGGAGATTGGATTTATACCCCGCCCTTCACTCAGAGTCTCAGAGCTGCTTACAAACTCCTTTCCCTTCCCCTCCCCACAACAGACACCCTGGGAGGTGGGTGGGGCTGAGAGAACTCTGACACAAACTGCTCTTTTTCCAGGACAGCTGTGCCAGAGCTTGTGACTGACCCAAGGTCACATCAGCAGGTGCAAGTGGAGAAGTGGGGAATCAAACCCGATTCTCCCAGATTAGAGTCCGCACACTTAACCACTACACCAAACTGGCTCACTTCTTCAGATACCTCGTATTTCTGCTAGGGTTTTGGCAAGCCTTGCCCCTTCCTTTCTGCAGAGTTTTCCATTATTCCTTCCCCGTGCTCTCAGATGTTCATGGAGAGCCTGCAGTCATTAATTTTCCTCACTACCTCTGTGTGTTGTTTTGTGGGGGGTTTTTTCCACTGACAAAGCAGTTGTGCAAGCCAATGCACAGCAAGCCAGTGAGGGCATGTTGACTAGTCATGGCAGGGTGCATTCTTACAAACACACCATAATCCCAGGTACCCAGTGCCTGCGACAAACCAAGATGCCAACTTTGCTCTCCTGTAGATCCTAGCAACACCATCACTGTTGTACCATCTCAGGTTCCTACTCCTGCTCATCCTCTAATGTGATTTATGCTGTCATGTTTCGGCAGTGCCCTTCCACCCTCTACATTGGGCAAACGGGCCAGTCCCTATGACAAAGAAGAAATGGACATGAGTCTGATTTTAGAAAGTAAAAGGTAAAGGTCCCCTTGCTCGAAAGCCAGTCGAATCCGACTCTAGGGTTGCGGTGCTCATCTCCGTTTCCAAGCCGAAGAGCCAGCGCTGTCCGAAGACGTTTAAGTGGTCATGTGGCCGGCATGACTAAACACCAAGGCGCACGGAACGCTGTTACCTTCCCACCGAAGTGGTGCCTATTTATCTACTTGCAATTTCTTGCTTTCGAACTGCTAGGTTGGCAGGAGCAGGAGCTAGAGATGGGAGCTCACTCCATCATGCGGCACCCGGGTCTCGAACTGCTGAACTACTGACCTTCCACAGCCTGCAGTTCAGCGTCTTAACCACTTGAGCCACCGCAGCTCCTGATTTTAGAAACCACAGCATTAAAAAAAACAGTGGGGGGGGGGGGACACTTTCACCTTCCAGGACATTCAGTTGCTGACCTAAGAGTAGCCGTTCTCTTCCAAAGGAATTTCAAAGGGAGGTTAGAAAGAGAGGCTGCTGAATGGCAACTGATCATGAAGCTCAAGACAATGCATCCTCCTGGACTGAATGGAGACCTAGGTTTCCTGTCTCATTACCAATGCTGATTTCGCCACACCTCCTATCCCCCTGCATATCACAGCGAATGCCTGCTATTGTCATTCACCTGTTATTGTCATTGGCCTGTTAATGTCATTCGGCACCTGGAATCACTCCACATTCCAATGTATAGGACAGATGGACTCACATTCTAGCCGTATCTGAAGAAGTGAGCAGTGACTCAGGAAGGCTCCTACCTTGCGTGCTGGGAAAGATTGAAGGTCAGAGAAGACGAGGACAGCAAAGGATGAGATGGTCAGACAGTGTCATAGATGCAACGAATTAATTAATTAATTTATTTATTTATTAAATTTATACCCCGCCCTCCCCCGTAGGGCTCAGGGCGGCTTACATGGCAAGAAATCTTGCGGTAATAAAAACATCCAATACATTTGATAACATTTAAAACAATATTATACAATTTAAAACCTATCTCAATACAATAAAGTGCTCAATAAAGTGCTCAGAGTCCTCAATTCCTAAACCTCAGAGAGATGGCAACCACATTCATACATTCCCGGTAGGCATTCAGGCTTCGATGTTAAATATTATATTCAGATGTTCCTTCTTGCCTAGGGGCCTTCCCCCCCCCAAAGATGTTAATATAACGGGGGGGTCGGCGGCCCCTACTCAAAAGCCTGGTGGAAGAGCTCCGTCTTGCAGGCCCTGCGGAATTGCATCAAGTCCCGCAGGGCCCGGATCTCCTCCGGGAGCTCATTCCACCTGGTGGGGGCCGCCACCGGAAAAGCCCTAGCCCTCGTAATGGCCAATTTTGCATCTGGGGCCCGGCACAGTTAGTAAATTTTGGGCCCCAGACCGTAGTGCTCTTGGGGGAACATACGGGGAAAGGTGGTCCCTCAGGTAGGCTGGACCCAGACCACGAACATGACGTTGAGCCAACTTCAGAGGACAGCGGAAGACCGGAAGGCCTGGCGTGATCTGGTCCATGGGGTCGCGAAGAGTCGGACTCGACTGTGCGACTGAACAACAAAAACAAAGACGATGACTCCCCCCCACACACACACATTCCAAACTGTGTCCTGATGAACATTCAGCCTCTTCCCCTCCCCCAACCAGCTTTTGGCCATGGAGTTCCCCCCCCCCCCACCCCAAATTAAAGACAAAGAATCAGCAATAAGGAAGGCTTTGGGATGCCTGCTCACGTTAGTGCAACATTAGTCATCGTGAGAATCACCCATCCATGGGCTGTGGCCGGGGGTCCCCAACCTGGTGTCTGTGGGGGTCCGTGGTGGTGCCCACCAAGTGTTTTTTAGAAAGTGGGTGTGGCTTTTGCTCTGCAAGGCTTCTGGAGATTTGATTGGCTGTGCAGATTTTGTAAAAAAAACCTGTCGCTTTGGCAGCAGTGGCCACCACGGCTCACGGGTCTTCGCTGTGTGACTGAAGGTAAGCTGCGGCAGCCATTTTGTGGCGGGCTCTGCCTCCCGAGGCAGCCATTTTGTGACTGCACCCACCATCCTGTGTTAGAACAAAAAGTTTGGGGACCTCTGGTCTACTGGAGCTCTGATAAGAGCTGTCCTTGAAAAAGAGCAGTTTCTGTCCGAGCTCTCTCAGCCCCACCGACCTCCCAGGGTGTCTGTTGTGGGGAGGGGAAAGGAAAGGAGTTTGTAAGCCACTCTGAGACTCCGAGTGAAGGATGGGGTATAAATCCAATCTCCTCTTGTTTGGTGTTGTGGTGAAGTGCGCAGACTCTAATCTGGGAGAACCGGGGTTGATTCCCCGTTCTGTCACTTGCACCTGCTGGATGACCATGGGCAAGCTATAGTTCTGATAAGAGCTGTCCTTGCAAAAGAGCAGTTTCTGTCAAGAGCTCTCTCAGCCCCACCTGCCTCACAGGGTGACTGTTGTGGGGAGGGGAAGGAAAAGGAGTTTGTAAGCCGCTCTGAGGCTCCCTTGCGTAGTGAAGGGCAGGGTATAAATCCAGTCTCTTCTTCTTCTTAAATGCACGGACTCTAATCTGGGAGAACCGGGTTTGATTCCCCACTCCTCCACTTGCACCTGCTGGGTGACCTTGGGCAAGCCGTAGTTCTGACAAGAGCTGTTCTTGCAAAAGAGCAGTTTCTGTCCGAGCTCTCTCAGCCCCGCCTCCCTCACAGGGTGTCTGTTGTGGGGAGGGGAAGGGAAAGGAGCTTGTAAGTCCCTCTGAGACTCCTTTGGGTAGTGAAGGGCTGGGGATAAATCCAATCTCCTCCTCCTCCTCCTCCTCCTCTAATTGCCAGCTCTGGATTGTAAATTCCTGGAGATTTGGGGGGTTGGGTCCTGGGGAGAGGAATCTAATGCCCCACAGTCCACCTTCCAAAGCAGCCATTTTATCCACGGGAATTGATCTCTTTCACCTGAAGACCAGTTGCAATCCCAGGAGAGCTCCAGTCACCGCCTGGAGACTGGCAAGCCTAATTGAAACCCTCCCCAAGTTCTCCCCTCCATAGGCACTGTCCCCAAATCTCCAGGAATGTCCCAGGCTGGAGTTGGCAACCCTGCCAGAGGCCCACTCGCGATCTCCCTCTGCAGAGTGGGGTTTGCCCCATAGCAGGTTTGAACCCTTCCATGCCTCTCTCTATCAATTTCTCTGCAGCTAACTAGTAGGGGAAGCAAGAATGGACAGAAATAAAAGCGATACACCTGTTTAGAGACACTTTGGTGTCTTGGTTAAGTGCGCGGACTCTAATCTGGGAGAACCAGGTTTGATTCCCCACTCCTCCACTTGCACCTGCTGGATGACCTTGGG